AAGTTTTTAATCCAGACAGTTCAGGCGAGGTGACATTTTTGGACACTTTGGCACATTTTGGCACACTGGTGACCATCTGAATGTTCTTATGTACAAACTAGATATTTCACTTGTATTTCACTAATGGCGTTCAATACATTCAAATACAGCAGTGTTTTAGTTTTTTTAAAATCCTACCAGACCGCTGTCTGTGTTACGTGTCGTGTGCGTAATGGCGATTGGCGGCTGTGGAGACGGCTTGATGACGCGCCGCCGTATCTCGTGATGGATGGGCCGATTTCGGTGATTGAACCCTCCTTCGAATCGTTAGAGCCAATAGAAGATAGCCATTGCCACCAAAACGAGATTGACAGCACTTTTAGCCAATCGGAATCAGTAGACCGCCATCTTGTATTCTCGCCGCTCGCTCCCTCGTTCACTTTGCCGAAGTATCCTACAGTTCACACAGCCTCCCAGACACGGGTGACGTGCTTTCCGTGTGGCACAGGAAGTAGTACTAACTGATTCCGGTGTGGATTTACCGATAAAATAAACTTTTCACGGCAAAACAGCTAAGGTAAGAGACATTGTACAACTACAGTTTGACGAAGCGGTTTCGGTTTTTGCTGTTCTTTGGGTTGTTTCTCGCTGATGCTTTGGTTTTAGAGAGCTTTGAGGGATATGTTTAGAATCTGGGGACTCTCTGCTTCATTTTGAGAGGTAGGTTGTGCGTCTTTCATAACGTACAGTAGCGACAGAGCCAGAAATGTGACGAGTGGGTTGACGTGGTGGCGCTATATCGATTTGCATATTTGATAATTAATTTAGTTGGTGTTTGAATTGTGTTTGAGGCATGTAGAAATGGCTGATATGTGCGTGTAGCCCAGGTTCTGCTGTTTAATTTGATGTATAACATCACTATATTCTTTCATGATGAGTGCATTGTTTCACACTATTTCTTTCTGTAAAACCCGGGGCCTCTCGGGTTTTAAGGGGTTAAGTCTTGCCTTACTGTACTCGCTAGCTGCCACCAGATTTCAACAATGGCAAGTCCTGTAATCTGTGAGCTCTCTCTCTCATGGTCACACAAAATGCACGCACACCAAGTACTGGAAGTGAAGTAAATCTGTTGCTTGAATGATGCACAAGAGGAACCAAAATGTGATTGCATATTTGATCAAGGAGATCATATTTTTGGGGGGAGGCTTTACTGCATAAACAGGAAAACAGATGAATAGGGTAATTAGCCAATTTTCTATGAGAAGTGGAACAGTTTTATATGCATTTGGGGTTGTAGCCCCAGATGCTGTGTGCCTAATGATGCCTATGGATGTCAGAGTAGTTTATTAATGTCTACATAGTCTTCATCAAACTTCTAGGCTACAAGTTCCACCAGCAAATGAAATAAGAGAGCACAGCACTGTCCTCAATGCAAAGCTGCTGCAATTGTTTGCCTTTCAATCCTACCAGTCCTAAAACAGGCACACTTTGACAGTTCTATGCTGCTGCTAGTCTGGCATTCTATGGAAAAAGCATTGGTGTGCAAAGTAAAGCTGCTGATCACGGCACCTTTCTCTCCACAGTCTGTGACTGTTGCTCTCATTCAGATAGAGGACCCAGTTTCGGTGTGAGAAAAAATGATTACTGATGACTAAAACCTGCTATTCTTTACACAGGCCATTCTTGACAAAGCCACGAGTCACACTAAAAGTCTACTCCAGAAAAGCGAGGAGAAGGCCAAAGCTCTGGAGAAGGTACTTTTATCTCATTGCTCTGTTGCTTATAAAATTACAGGCTGCTGTTTTACTTAAAAACCATGTTTGAACTTGACATGTGAACATAACTAATCTGTTTTTTGTACACAGACCAATAAGTCACTTGATTTGATTTCTGATGTTTTAACAGATTTCTCTGTTGTCATCAGAGTGACTACTTTTGTTGGGAATTCAATCCTTTTTTCCCCCCACACATTAAAGTCTCTGTAGTGAGTAGTAAAATGGGACCCTCTCAGACACTTCTGAGTCCTTTTTGTATCTATAACCTGTGTCATGATTGTTGTGTCCTTGGGCAAGGCACTTCACCCACCATATGGTGTGAATGCGTATGAATGGATTGTTTGAGGTGGTGGTCGGAGGGGTCGTAGGCGCAGAATGGCAGGCACGCCTCTGTCAGTCTGCCCCAAAACGACTGTGGCTTTGTAGCAACCGCCACTGAAATAAATGTGTGTGAATGAATAATTGACAGTGTAAAGCGTCTTCAAGTGCCTAGAAAAGTGCTGTATTAATCTGATCTATTATCCATCCATCCATTATCTATACACCGCTTAATCTTCACTGGGGTCGTGGCGTGGGCTGGAGTCTATCCCAGCTGACTTAGGCTGAAGGCAGGGGACACCCTGGACAGGTCACCAGTCCATCACAGGGCTACACTTAGAGACAGACAACCAAGCACACTCACATTCACACCTACGGACAATTTAGAATCACCAATTAACCTCAACATGTTTTTGGACTGTGTGGGAGGAAGCCGGAGAACCCGGAGAGAACCCATGCTGCACGGGGAGAACATGCAAACTCCACGCAGAAAGATTCTGGTGCGAGGCAACAGTGCTAACCAACTGTGCCACCTTGCAGCCCTGATCTATTATTATTATTATTATTATTATTATTATTATTATTATAAAACGTGGCACACTATGTTGTGGAATTGCTAGCACATAGTGTTTGTTGGTATAATTATTACAATTTAATTTTCACAAAAAAGAATGAGAAATACAGAATTAAAATAAGTAGGGCAGTCAATATATGAATATAAATCAATATAGACAATCCAAGCCAAACATTTAAAAATGTGTCTCAATCCAGAGTACAGTTTGAGATGATGTGAACGAATTTCTCATTGTTTCTAGATTAACTAAACCAGAAGACATGGATTATGACATTTGACGGGGATCTGAATTACTGCATAAGTGCACTACTGGATTGATTTTGGGGCTCAGTTTACTAAAAATGATTTATATATCTTACAATCTTAAGTTTAATTGTTACGGGAGATTTCAAAAGTTTCATCTCATTACATAGAATTAATATGTTTGAGGTAGTTCCTCTGCAGGGCTGCAAGGTGACTCGATTGTTAGCACCGTCGCCTCACAGCTAGAAGATCCTCATTTTGCATCCTGGTTAGGACGTCTGGGCTCTTTCTGCGTGGAGTTTGCATGTTCTCCCCGTGCAGCGTGGGTTCTCTCTGGGTTCTCTGGCTTCCTCCCACAGACCAAGCAACATGTAGAGGTTAATTGGTGATTCTACATTGTCCGTAGGTGTGGATGTGAGTGTGCTTGGTTGTCTGTCTCTAAGTGTATCCCTGCGATAGACTGGTGACCTGTCCAGGGTGTCCCCTGCCTGAGTCAGCTGGGATAGACTCCAGCCTCCTACGAGCCCAGTGAAGATTAAGTGGTGTATAGATAATGGATAAATGGATAAGTAAAAGAAAAAAATATCTAAAAATTGATCAATTTATAGTATTAAAGAAGTGGGGTTTTTAATTTATTCCAAACTGAATGCATGTCAGACAGTTAAAATGAGAAATTGTACGTAATTTATTTCTATTATTTATGTTTAAGTAAGATGGGTTAGTTAAATGTTGAGTTCTAAAAAAAATTGGTAATTTATTTGGGATATCTTAAGTGTAAAAAAGTGTGATCTGTTTTCTGTATGTCAAGAACCAAGTCACCTACATGAGTTGAGAGAATGCTTCAAAGTGGATAACACAACGTTAGCCTGGATTTATGACGGTATATTTAGAGAACAGAGGCCAGGAAGGAACACCACAGTTTTATGGCCATTAGAATATTTATAGGACTTTACAATAGGGCTTCTATATAACCTTATATAAATGGCTGGGAGGGTTACTTTTAAAATGTTTTAGTACTTGTACGAGTTACCTGATAGCTCGTAAAAGCTATCAGCTAGCTGTCAGCTTCTGTTAGCTCCAGACACCTCTTCTGCCCTCTTATTAGCTCCTGTTAGCGCCTTTAAGCTTCAGTCGGCCTTTGTTTTCCCCTGTGGTCTCCAGTCAAAACACTAAATAAAGAGAAAAAATAGAACAAGAGCTGATTGCTGAAAGCAGTTGCAATAATAGCAAAGTGTTAAGAAAACAATAGTGTGATTGCTTTCATCAAATTTTGTCCAGTGTGCAGAATAAAATCTATTTAATCTGTATGTTTTTCATAAACAATGGGGGTTTTGGCTTTAGCTTATTTGCCTTGAGAATTGTTTGGGCAACATGAGAGCATGAGACAGCAAACGGGTGTCTCACACTGATGAATCAGTCAACTGGTTATCATTTTTCATTTCCTGTAACTTCAACAGAATGTTATTTTTATCCAGATTACAAACCCCTTTCCACGTATTTCATCACTACCCAAGCCTGCCTATATGTAAAACTAGATGCATGCACTTCAGTGTATTGTAGTAATTTCATTGTAAATCTGAAAAACTAAGTACAATCTGTTAATCATAATACAGTGCTTCCTTTCTTGCAGGAGGTGAACAGCTTACAATGGGAACTCAGCTTCCATCAGGAGCAGATGAAGAAGTTGGAGCAATCCTGGGAGCAGCAATACAGCAGGTCGGATTTACTCTGCATAAGCTTGTTTTGGTAGTATTTTCATTGATCCTACTATACCTGTGTTTTTGTTATTATTGTTGAGATTAGACTGTTGAATGAGAACCAGACTCTGACTGACAATATGGCAGAAATAGACACCGAGATTCAGCGGCTTCGAGCAGAAAACTCCAGTAAGTGATGAATAATGTAGAAGAATTTTGAAATCACCTGAACATGTTAGCTCCTGTGATCTCATCTAAGAGGTGAAGTGGAAGTAAAAGGCAATGTGTAGAGTTAACCTCATTGCAGCTCCTAACCACCAGTGTGTAACTGACATCTTGCGTACATTTTTTTTCTAGAGCATTCAACCTCATGTCATGGTCCTTATAAGCAAATGGGTCATAACAAAGATTTTGTGCGTGTGCTTGCAGCTCTAAGTCGGCAGTACTTGGAGGTCTTCTCTATGCTGAATGCAAAGGAGCAGAGAGTTTACCAAGGAACCAAACCTCAGTCCGGCCCAGAGAGAGACGCCAGTGTTCTGGAGGTGAGAGATCACTGATCCCCATTACATGTAATGACTCCTATAAACTGAACACATTCCTGTCAAAGTAAACATCACAAATTCATTTGCAGTTGGATAACATTACATAATAAAACCTTGATGTGTAATTATTTCAATGACACATGTCAACTGACATGATGGTTCAATTCAGTTTTCAGCTACATTCAGTTTTATTTATATAGTGCCAATTCAAAACACAAGTCATCTTAGGGCACTTCACATAGTAAGGTGAAGACCGTACAACATTATAGAGAGAAACCCAACAACCCCAATGATTCCCTTAGAGCAGTCCTTTGGCAACAGTGAGAAAAAAAAATCCTTTTTCAAGGGAAGAAACCTCACAACCTGGCTCAGGGAGGGCTGCCATCTGCCTCAAATGTTTGGGATGAGGGTAAAGGGTAGAGAGAACAGGCTAGCAGATAGAAAAGAAAAACATCACGCAAAACAACAACAAACACTGATAAGGTTAATGAGGCCAGTAGCCACAGATAAGAACCATACAGCTCAGGAGCCAAGGATACCTGCAGAGGATAAAACACAAACTACAGGAGAAAAGTTAATGACATTCAATGGTGGCATACAAATGTATGCACAGTGAAAACAAAGATAGTAGAGATGTTTAGGCCATCATGGGAAGTCCCCCAGCAGTAGAGGCTTATAGCAGTATAACTAGGGGATGGTTCAGGGTCACCTCAGTCAGTTTTAATCTAATCCTAAAAGTGTAAAGGGTGTCGCTTTCCAGAACCCAAACTGGGAGCTGATTCCATAACAGAGGAGCTGATAACTGAAGGCTCTGCCTCCCATTCTACTTCTGGAAGCTCTGGGAAACACAAGCACAACTGCAGTCTGAGAGCAAAGTGCTCTATTTGAATAATATGGTACAAGGGTTTTTAAAATTATGATGGTTTTATATGTTAGAAGCAGGATTTTAAATTCCATCCTGGATTTTACAAGGAGCCAATGACGAGAAGCTAATACAGGAGAAATATGATCTCTGTTACTGGTTGCTGTCAAAACTCTTAATTTAGACTATCTCCTCGTTTTTGTAGTTTTACCCTTTTTTTGTGTTGGGTTTGGTTAGTCCTCAGTTCTCTTTACGCTCACCTAATTATCTTCGCTTTTGTTTGTATTTCCTCACTTAGTTATATTAGCCTGCCCTCTTGTTAGTTTCCGAGCACCGTTATCTGCAAGTTTAAGTTTGTTAGTTTTTTTTGGTAATCTTTCTTCAGTTCAGTTTGCCCATACTGCTTTGGTTTCAGTTTAATTCTTATTTATACAAAGCATTTTTTAAGTCCTCATCTGTGTGATCTCTGTCTGTGCCTGGATTCCCAGAGCCCCTGTGACAGAATTAGGTGAAAATTTGCACGGAAGTGGTTTGTTTGGAGACGTTTGCTCAGGATTAAGAGACTTCATAGCAATAGCATTGTTGAAAGTCAACAAGAATCTCCTCAAAGCCTCAGACAATGGTATTGCCCTTCTATCTCACACAAAAAATAAGTCCTTAGGATGTCTGTCTTAGAGTGATGCTGAGAAACTAGCCCATGCATTTCTAACTTCTCGGCTGGACTATTGAGATTCCTTATTATCAGGATGTCCCAATAACTCTTTTAAAAACCTCCAGCTGATCCAAAATGTTGCAGCCAGAGTTCTGACAGAAACCAGTGACAGAGATCATATTTCTCCTGTATTAGCTTATTTTCATTGGCTCCTTGTAAAATTCAGGATAGAATTTAAAATCCTGCCTTTAACATATAAAACTCTTAGTGAGCTGCTTCATCTTACCTTAAAGACCTTATTGTGCCATACTATCCTAACAGAGCCCTTCGCTGTCAGACTGCAGGTCTACTTGTGGTTCCAGAGTTTCCAGAAGTAGAATGGGAGGCAGAGCCTTCAGTTATCAGCTCCTCTGTTGTAGAATCAGCTCCCAGTTTTGGGTTCTGAAGGCAGACACCCTCTCTACTTTTAAGATAAGGCTTAAAACTTTCTTTAATCTACTTTGATTAAGCTTATAGTTAGAGCTGCTCCGTATCACCTGAACTGTCCCTTAGTTGTGCTGATATAGGTTTAGACTATAGACTATATAACCACCATTACATGTCACTAACTCTGTGTTTCCCTCGAGGTCCCCTGTTTGTTCTCTCTGCAGGTGTCTCTGGATCTGGAGCTTCACATCTCTGATGTACAGTTTCTGCTCTCACCGACCTCCAAATTGTTCATTGTTCTGTTTTTACTGTTTGTGTGTTCTCCATCTGCTATCCCCACCCCAACCCCTTCTGCTGTTTCTTACACTCTCTGTGGGTTGTGTGTAGATTAGTTGGTCTTGGTTATGGTTAGTTTTTAGTACTTTGATCACATAAGAGAATATTTTGGAATATGAATTATATAAGCAAACTATAATCTCAAATGATGAAGCCCTTACAATGTTTTCCTAAATCAGAGGACTTCTTAAACTGATTGTCAGTTGTTGTACTTGTACCCAGTAGATGACATAGTGGTCCTTCTAATCCTCTGTGTGTTTTCTAGATGGCAGTGCTGGGGGCCTGCCGTTGTCGTGGTGTAACTGAAGCTTGTCGTTGCAGTCGGATTGCTGCTGCAAGCAGGAAGCAGCTCGTTCAGTTGCAACAGGAGGTAAAGTACATCTAACCTTTAACCTCTGCCAAGCTCTATCTTTTTCTCGTTTTTGTTTGCAGTCATTGTATTATTAGGGTCCGAGGACCCCTACTTGCTGCCTATTGTTCCTGCTGCGTTTCTTTCTTCTTCTTCTCTATTATTATTATTTGCCTGACGCACGCGTTTGCCTTAATTTGACCCCCTGAACACGCTCAAAAACTCTCCAAAATTGGCACACACGTCCGAATCGGCGAAAAAATTGGATAAAATGAAAAAAGAAACAAGAAAATGTTCTCTAGCGCCACCTAGTTACAGAAAAACACACTAAAATGG